GGGATAGTAAATGCAAAACATGGACTATCCTCAGTTGTTCCCCATGAGGGTCACCAAATGCCGCAGTCTGGCTGGGCACAATTCACGAGCCACTTATCAAGCAGAAACGAACTTTATTTTTAGAACACACAGGCCAAACCACAAGAGCTCTTCAGGAATTCCCTCAGAGCCCAACTGCCACCACGGGCTTCCCACAAGCCTCTCAACCCCCCCACCTCTCCTTCTCTTGAGGCCAATTGGCTGGGTCGCATGGGTGGAGCCAAAAAAGTCCCCAAATGAGCAGCTCCGTTGTCTGAAAGGGCGGGGAAACAGCCCAATGAGCATCACCGCAGAGGAGCCAATCAGCTGACAGCTAGAAGTTTGCTGGGGCCACTGTGAGCCAATCATCATCTGGCAGCTGGAAGTTTGCTGGTGCCACTGTGAGCCAATCATCAGCTGTCAGCTGGAAGTTTGCTGGCAGCTGGAAGTTTGCTGGGGCCCCTTTGGCTGTGGCTCTCAACAACAGAATAATTCTTAAATTGGTTCATAATGACACACAAAGTGTCATGCTTTTAATCGTATTCAAAAATAACAACTTTGGACATCAAATTTTTCTCTAGAATTAGGGGTAAAGCAAATTAATAGTAACAATGCAAACTTTTTTCTTTCTCCATCCCTTATTTTATTATTAAAGACTGTCAAGTTACAATCTGCTCTCCTTCTGCAGAACTCTTGTGATAGTACAGAAGGAGCACATCAATTGAATATGAAATATCAAGACAAATACAGGAGTAAAATAACTAGAATTCATATAAAATTCCAAAAGCCACTCCTCAGCAATGAAATGCCATTCAATCCTTTAGGAACTCATTAATCGATTAACATTTAGAACAGTAATTACAGGGAGAGTTGAATTCAAGTTAAATAAAACTAACAAGACCAATTATGTATTATATAAAACCACTGAATGCTTGATAAGGATCAATAAAGTAAAGTACCAGAGGCAACAAGTCAACATTAAAAGAGTGAAACACATGTGCATGTACATATAACACACGTGATAGAGATGTTTAATACACATATATTGGTGCTTCATAAACTTGGGGTATGCCATCATATTTCCAAAGAGGAAAAGGGATATATTGACATGAAATAAATTATCTCTATGAAAATGGTGAGTTGATACTTTATTGGTAATAAACTGAATCTTAAACCAAATTGAGTGTGATAAACCTGCATTTTTGAAGAATTGTTCCTGTTCTTTATGAAGAAAGAGTATATGCTTTCAAATGATTTAATATGATGAACATCTCCTTCTACTATTTGTGTATCTCAAGACAAAGAAAATTGTATGATATAGGAGGTTAATGTATGTTCTAATTAATAACAATTCTTGAAGTATACAATACATGTTAGAATCTGAGTTGTTATTTAAGATTATTTTACTAATTGCAGGAGTAAATAGTAATTTGGTTGTTTTAGAATTATCAATTTTGGAAATCTTCCTTCTTTGCTTCTTTGAATCTGGAGATTGCTGTGGTGTTTTAGAGGAGCTACAGCTGTTTTTGATGGGTCACAAATGAAATGCATGAAGAGTAAGTGGGTTGTAAAAGTCATAAATGCCACATAAAATGAAGTCATCAATGAGTTAAAAATGATTGGGGTTTTAGATTTGCCATTTTCCTTTTTAAATGTCCTTATTGATTTGTTGCAAATAGTGCTAACCCTGTATTTGGCAAATGGTGAGGACATTATTACTTGTGTTCTCATTTGTAATAAAACAGATTAACTTGCTGTGAAATTTTAACTAGGCTGAGACACAACAGTAACCACCTAATGAACCAAAACACATTGCAGTTAAGTAGCTAAATAGATGCATACTGATTATAGGGCTGAAAAATGAATGTTTACTTGCAAAGAAGACATTGTTCATAGAACTATCATTATTTGAGAAGCAATTAAATATTTCAGTTCTGCACAGATTTTTTTTTTTGACACAACTAATTCTAAATCAATATAAGATACTGGACTTCTTTAACATGATTTACATGGCAAAAAAAACAGTCTGACCTCCAGGCTGCCTTAGGAAAATAATAACAAAAAACTAAACCCAGATTAAATTTAGAAAGGGCAGGCTACAAAACCTTAAAGCAAAACATTGTTTCATGTAAAATATTACTGTCACTCTTAATATTGACTCTCCAAATCGTGTTTTCAAGTTAGTTTATATTTTATATAATGTACTGTTGAAAATGGCAAAAAAGGAGTTTGAAGATAATTGATTCAAGCTTATATTTCTCAATCACATGCTAATTTTAAACATGTTGGGGAAATACCTTATTATAGCATTATATTTGTCTTGTTATGTATATAATTTTCTATTTGTGTTGATGTTCATCCAGTCTTTCTTTACTAAGAATAAGCTTTCATTTTTTATTAGGCAGAGTGGACAAGACAAAGTATAATTGTCATTTGTATCCTCTTATTTTTACAAACTCTCTATTGTATGAATCACTGAAAAAATTTTCCATTTTTATTATGGAGGCATATAATGCTGCATGTGTGATTCCCTTTGGCTATTGTACAGTGCTTTTGTTTCTTTAATTGTATTTTTGTATAGTAACTTCTGTAATTTTCCCTTATCCATTAATTGGGAGATCCATTGAATTATATACATATACATGTATATAATTCTTATATATATATATAAGAAAATTGTCATTGTTAGAATTCAAAAATTCAAAGACAATTACTGAATGCTTTTCACTTTATGCACATATTTTGGTATGAATGAATGTGACAATAAAACAGTGAAAGAAACAAAAAGGGCTTCACATATGAAATTTTTTATTGTGGTTGTGAATGTGTATATGTATATACTATCTGGAGAATATGTTTTTAACCATGACAGTTTTGGTTGGCTTTCAAAACTAATGAACTTCTACTCTCTTAAAAAAATGAAAGGATGTGTGGTGTGAGGGATGTATAGATATTTCTGTCCATCCCATATTATCCCTCCAAAATTGAGTAGAATTATTGTGGAGAGAACTTGATTATTTTCTTCTGTCTAATTTATATATTGCTTTTGATTGTTCCTCATATACATTACAACCAGATGTTTTCCTGTATACTAAATATAAATGAGTTCCATCAGCACATTTCTCTGCTTAAAATATTGTTTTTAAGGCATGACAATAGCTATGAAGTCTTTATACTGTATATTTACAATTATTGCTATTTAATTAGTGCATAAAACTGAAATTACTATATGAAAATTCTACAGTTCATTTCACAAAAGTTATTGAATGTTAACTAAATGCTAGGCAATAATGTAATACACCATATAATAATGAACATAATATATTGATGACTGTATTAGTGTTCTAATACTGCTAGAACAAATTAACACAAATTCAGTGGCTTAAAATAATACAAATTTATTATCTTACAGTTCTGTAGATCAGAAATCACAAATGGGTCTCACAAGGTTAAAAGCAAAGTCCTGATAAAGTTACATCCTTTCTGTAGGTTTCTTGCCTTTTCCATTTTCTATAGGTCACTCATATTTATTGGATCAAAGCCCCTTTCTTCTACCATCAAAGACAGCAATGTTGCATCATTGTGATCCTCCTCTTCTGTCTCTTTTCTACTTTTAAGAAGCTTTTGATCATATTGGGAGCATCAAGATAATTTCCCAATATCCAATATGATCTCTCTATATCAAAATTCTGAATGACCACTCCAAAAGTCCTTTTGGTCATATAATGTAGTATATTCACAGGTTTTGACAATTAAGATGTGGAATAGACATCTTCAGAGGAAGGGTGGTATCATTCTGCCTGATGAAATGACAGACATTGCAAAATGTTCACAACAGCTAACGAAATAATAACTTTTAATTCTCATGTCATTATATTTGCATTAAACAATGACTGTTTTTCTTTAGGGGGTTTATAAATTTTGGGCCTCATGCAAAATCAATATGAAAATGAACATGTACATTTTCAATAAACTAATTAAATAAACTAATTCTTGATGCTATGATGATTTGAATACTGATGTTATAATTATAGATAATTAGAATATTTAATTTAAGAAATGTATTATGAATGAATTAAATATTTTATAGAACAAATATTCCCTGACCCAGCATGTCTATCATTCATTTTTATTGCATATGTGCACAAACATTGCAATTTGATTATTTTATTGATCAAATTAACTGAAATGATGCAGTATTATTCAATAATTTCTCATGCATAAATATGGCAAATAACATCAGTGTTTTATAACAATGTTTATAATCTCAAAAGTCTTGAAAGCCATAGCAGATAGAAGTGTATAAAAATATTTGCTTTTAATTCAAATTAATTATTTAAAACTATACAAATCTAAGTGATACTAAGGAACTGACAGGATCTGTTTGAAAAAAAAAACCCATGATTGTATTCTGTGACTATAAAAACAATTAATATAATTCAGCACCAGTTCCCGAGGTCTAACAGAAAAAAATGTATATCATAGCCATGATTTTTGTGCAGAAAAATTAAGAATGTACTAAGTTGTCACTATTTATGAGTTTTTCCCAGGGCTTTCAGCTCTTTACATCATGTAGATCTTCTTTTTAGTCAGATAGTAGTATCATTCTCCAGGCCTTGTTATGAATTTTACATCTTTCAAGAAACTTACAATAATAACTTTAATTACATACCTAAGTTTATAATTATTTATTATTGTTCTAGAAAAGGAAATGGAAATTAACTTTTCTTGAGTCTCCTACATGTACCCAGAATGTCTTTGAACTCTTTTGCTTTCTGTTACTTAACTCTCACAATATCCCATTAAACTCACAATAATGGAAATATGTTTTTGTCTAAAGATTTATATTTAAGACCAATTACTGTGGATATGTCCACTCACTTTCAGGATAAGAGGTCAACATTTCAAATCTTATAGACTCAACCATCTTGAAAAACTTGGCATACACATGGCATTTCCTTTTATGTTTTCTCTTGTGGCAGGAGCGGATCCCAGAGAGCCCTTCTCCTGCTCCCTCCCTGGAAGAGAGCCATCGCCCTGGGAGCCAGACCTCCTCCCACCCCAGTAGCAGTGTGTCCAGCTCTCCCTCTCAGATGGATCATCAGTCAGAGAGAATGGGTAGGTATTTTTGTTGAAATAAGTATTGGAAGATATTTGTTCAGGAAATTCCTCATTAGGCAATGGATAGGGGAGAAAGAAGCTGAAGAAGCTGATGCTTCCTTAACATACATGGCTTTTTGAAGTGGTCACTTTTTATTGCTGAAACAACATGACCAAAAAAAATGAAACTTAAAGTGTCAGAAATTTGTTCTGTGCAAAGATATTTCTTTATTGTATCATACAATCTCATGAGAACAATATCATAGGATTGTTGGTAGAATATGTGTTAGCTCAATGTTATATTGGTAGGTAAGAGCTATTGCATTATAATACATTAGCATTGCATTATTCATAACATTATTTGGGATAATGGAAGGTAAAATATTCTTTAGGCAGCTCATCTTTTAAGAGTGATTAAAAAGTAATGCAATATATAATATACCACAGTCTTAAAAATTTGGATCACAAATATTGAACATGCTTTTCTCTACATTTTTTTATTTTTTCAGAAATCTTACACCATAGATAATATTCCAGAAAATTGTAGTACAATGGTGTATCAGACACTTGAATATAGCCATAGGTGTAACAGTAGATATAATATCCTGGGTATGATGTATAGTCACCATGAGTTTCTTTATGATATGGAAAGGATTATCCTCCTGACGACTACACTGAATTTTTGGAGGTCTTATGGGATAATATGTGTAAAACATTTCAGAAGTTTGAAAAGCTAAGGAAATATGAGGTGATAAATATTACTTTTCTACATGTGACTTTACCTTGACTGTTTATCATCTCCTACTATTAGATATCACTCATGTATACAGAAATTACTGGGTACATTCAGCTGTAACTCATTCTCATTTAATATACAGTAATTATGGATTAACTGACCTAGGTAAACTCTTCATTAATTTTTTATATCTATAGAAATCAATTTTCTATATGTCTGTTTTCTTTAAGGAAATCACATTTTCTTTTCTTTTAGTCTTAGTATGGGTATGTTAGGTATACTGTATGTATGCAAATCTCATAATAGTGACTGATTCCAGGCTTTCCAAAATAATGTGTGTGTGTGTGTGTGTGTGTGTGTGTGTGTTTTAATGGGAGGAGATAAATTTACAGGATTTCAGAAGGCATTCAGTTCTGCTTTTGTTCTGGAGAAGGATGAAGGCAATTTCTCCCTTGTGGAAATTAACCCAAGTCTCACTTAGGCTGCCAAAATTATACATTTTTTGTAGATTTCTAGCTTCATAATGCATTCTTTGATTCTTAAATCTGGCTCTATATTATAATCACTGGTACATTTTTTTACAACTATGGATGTTCAGGCCAAACAGTCTGGGTTTGATTCACCTGGTCTCGAATATAGCTTGGGTAGCAGTGTTTTGATTTGCTTTTTTATTATCTCCTCAGGGGATTCTAAAATGCATACCCATTTAAGAAACAGTGAGGTAGAGCTTGAGGATTATGGCCCTAAGATGAAAGTTTAATTCCTGAAAGAGGTGAACAAGGTTTTTAGCTTTACTCTGTTCTATGAATAAAAACTACCTGGTTCTTACAATTTTATATATGACTGATTCAAGGGGGTCTTGGTAAGACAAGAGGCTACAGCTGAATTATTACTGATGAACCAAGAAACTAAATTTCACACTATGCTGTTGGGATAATCCTTTTATTGTTGAAGGTGCAGGATAGTGAAAGAAAGAGGGGGGAGAAGGGATACACCCACACCCACACCCACTATATATATATATATATATATATATATATATATATATATATATATATATATATATATATATATAGAGAGAGAGAGAGAGAGAGAGAGATGTAGATATATAGTATTATTTATTGAGTTATTGAGTGCTGGCTAAAAGCAGAGCACATAAAGATATATACTTAGTGAATAGATATATCATAAGAGAATAGTTAGCTCATGTTTAGAAGTAAAATCAAATATTTCCAAAAAATCATAATATATTACAAAAAATCTTGAAAACATAGTACATTTCTAATTCATATGACAGTAATTAAACTCTATATGTACATTCTATAGTTGTTCAAGCATGATAAAAAGCTGATTTATAAATGAGTACAATGTTTTGGTGTTTCTTGGCTTTAAAGTGACCATATCTTATATATAAAGTTTTAATAAAATATAAATTCACAGTTGAAAGGACAAACTCAGAAAATTAGCATGATTTTTCTCTTTCAATATAGATATACTGTGAAGAACTGCAGTAGTTACCAGAAAGTTATATTTTATCTGTTAGTTTTTCAATATGTGATATTTGAAAAAAAGTTTCCATAGTAAATTAAATGTAAAATTACTTTTAACATTTATTTATATGATCTATTAAAGGATGGATTATTTCCAGAAACATTTTGGGAAATATGTTATTAATGATGGAATTAAATAGATTGCATATAGATTTTAAAAGATAAGCTATTTTAAATGCTCCAAATAATATGTTGGCAATTATATAAGTGCTATATATTAATTTTACTATAAAATTGAAATGGTTAAACATCTTATTAATTTTAAAATTATATGAACATAAGACTAATAAAAAGTTATACTGTTACAGAGGTACAAGTATATAAAAATCATGTTGTTACAGAATATTATCCATTTATGTGATGCTCTTCTGCCTTTCTTGGTATTTTGCATCAAGAATCACTCAGTTACATCTCTTATTTATAGTTATGATGCCCAACAATAGAGAGGAACTTATTGTTGATCATGATAATGGACCAACCATCAAAAAATTCCAAAGGGATAATAAAGGTAAAATGATTTTTGCTTATTTGATGTACATATAAATATCAGATACTAACTCAATTAACAAATCAGTTTTGTATATTGTATCCATGTTTCCTAATTCAGAATAAATATATATGGCTTTGGGTAAATTGTTTTAGTAGTAAAAAATGTATTTGCCTGAAGTTTGTTTATTAATATTATAATTTACCTATCTACCTGAAAAATTTATGTGCATGTGGTCAAAAATCTCACCCTAAACACTTTCATTATAACTATTCATAGACATGTGATGCCTCTCTTTGTGTATGTATGTACATAAACGTATATACATACACACATATATATTTTTATTATATAAATAATTCACCATTCGTTGTTATATTTATAAAAACTGAGTTGGTATAATGGGGTAAAGCTGCTTTCCTCAACCCTCAAAAGCAATCTAACTTGATCATTTCAAATGGAAGCTGTTTAGTATATATTTTTGTTGCTGTGTCTTAAAGGCCTAACTAGAGAAATTTTAAAGGAGGAAAAGTTTATTTAGGGACTCACATTTTCAGATAGCTGACTCCATTTCTCTGGGCTGAAGGGGAGGCACAACTTTATGCCAGAAGGGTGTGGAGGAGGAAAGCAACTGAGGGCTGGGGACATCTCTTCAAGAAGAAAGGGAGGAGAGAGAGAGAGAGAGAGAGAGAGAGAGAGAGAGAGAGAGAGAGTGAGTTAGAGTTCTCTCCTCACTGTGACAAATATAAACCCCAAAGGCATGCCTCCAGTGACTCACCTCCACTCACCTCCTCTCTATCTGCCTACCTGCCTACTGTTGCCACACAGATAACCCCTGTCAGTGGATCAATGCACTGATTAAGTTAAAGATCTCATAACCCAATGATTTCACCACTAAGCTTTCTTGTATTGTCTCACACATAAACCATAACAAAAGCTTATAAGGTTAATCTACCAAGTATTTATCTGGAATACAAATAAATATGACCTCAACATGGCTTTTAATCTGCCAAGGTGTAGGTGTTATCTCTGTGCAGTATCCAGTTTTGTCTTAGGATATCTGTTTAAAGAAGGTAAGGAGAGTAAGAATTTCAAAGGGATGCTCTTCTGAAATGAAAACTGAGCACAACTTTGTTTAAAAGGTTACAAAGATAGGAGAAAAGGAAAATATATAATCATATGTTATCGACCATTATTATTGCTGTCATCATTAGTTATACTATAGCTAACATGTAAACTTATCAGATTTTTAGATGGTCTGACAATTTTAGTACAGTTAGGGAATTTCCACTAAAGATGCTCATAATATGTAGAAAATACTCCATGAGCTGAACAGTTAAGGGAATTTTTTTCTTTCTTCTCTAGGCTAAACTTGCTTCATAATTACCTAGATGAGCATTTTAGTCGGAATTTGGAATAGTGTATGATTTTAATTTCATCGATCCATGGTTGGTTTCCTTGCCACATGTTTTGTCTTTTCTTAGCCAGACACTGAAATGCTATACCCTCTGGGGCTACAAAATGCAAATGATTTATTTCAGAATAGTTGTCAGAATGGAAAAAGTCAGGTTCAGTATATTAAACTACCCAAATTCTTATACAGGTAATGAAATTCTAGTTAAAGATGAAGCTTCATTCATAACCCAGCAACAATTTGTTCTGGAGAGCCCTTTTCTACCATACCATGACTATTTGAAGGACAGCTTAGTAGTAAAGCACTTTTGCAAGGAAAATCTCAAGCTGTACATGACACATATGATTCCATTGGAACTGTAAACTCCATAAGTCAAAATGGCATTAGGACTGGTTATATGCTGCAGAGCTCAAGTATACACTATTGTGTCTTATGAAAAATCAGCTGAAGTCTTGGTACAGATGTATGATAACAGATTTTCATAAAATACACAGTGGTATTTATTGGCATTTCTGAATTTCTTGCTGTAGAATGGTGCAGCTTTATACATTTCAATCAAATAATTTGGTCACACATCTTGATGAGGATCTTAATAAACAGGAGTGGTGTATTAAACTGCACCCCAGTTATGGTGAAAACTTTATTTTTCAAAAATTTCCTGTAGTTGTAGATGGACAACATTCCTTTATTTTATTTGTTTATTTTTATGTTGTGCTAAGGATCCAAACCAGTGCCTCACACATGCTAAGGAAGTGCTCTGCCACTGAGCTACAGCCCTAGCCTGGAAAATTTACTTTTAAATGAGACTTTCTATAATCAAGTTCTATCAGTTATATTTGGTTTAGTTAGACAAAATATATTTTACTAAAATAGATTTTAGATGTTTAAAGGGAACAAATTAAAGTAGAAGTTTTAACATTTATTAAGTATGACAAGTAAGCAGTTCATGCAACTGTGGAAAACATATGTTTTCACATCTGTTTTGAATAATATCATCATAATTTAAAAATAATTTGTAGCTCATGAAATTATAAAATGCCTACTTTGTTATTATGAAAAAAAATTATAAAACTGACAAAGTAGTGATAAAGTCTGCTTCATATAGCCCACCTCCTTCTTCACTTTGTAAAGTGGGGTGATAGTGCAATACACTCTAAAATGATAATTTGCATTTTGCATTAGAGTTTAATATGCATATGTATAAAAGTATATATAATCTGTATTTCCTGATAGCAGTGTCCATTTCAACTGAATCCAATATGAATTATCAAACTGTACATTTTTAGTTTCAAATCAACTGTTTTAGTAAAACAGAATATCTGCTTTTTCTCCTCCAACTTCCCCTGTCCCCTTTTCTCTATTCTACTGATCTTTCTTATTTTATTTATTTTTTTAATTGGAGAATTATGGATATTCACAAAAGTAAAATTCACTGTGGTATATTCATATATGTACATATAAAAGTTAGGTCAGATTCATAACACTGTCTTTCACAATCCCATCCTTCCTCCCTTCCTCCCTTCCCTTCATTTCCCTTCATTTACTCCACTGCTCTTTCTTCTTTCTTGTACTTTTAATCCCCCCTTATTTTGGATTAGTTTCCATGTGTCAGAGAAAACATTCAACCTTCGACTTTTGGGGACTGACTTATTTCCCTTGGCATGATAGTCTCCAGATCCATCCATTTACTGGCAAATGCCACAATTTCATTCTTCTATATGGCTCAGTAATATTCCCCTGTGTATATGATCCACATTTTCTTTATCCATTCGCCTATTGAAGGACACCTAGGTTAGTTTCATAGCTTAGCTATTGTGAATTAAGCTTCTATGAACATTGATGTGGCTGTGTCACTCTAGTAAACTGATTTCAAGTCCTTTGGGTACATGATGAGGAGTGTGATAGCTATGTCATATGGTTGTTCCATTCTTAGTTTTCTGAGGAATCTTCATATTGCTTTCCAGAGTGTTTATATTAATTTGCACTCACACCAGTAATGTATGAGTGTACCTTTTCTCCCACATCCTTGCCAGCATTTATTAGTTGTATTCTTTCTTTATTTTTTATTTTAGCTATAGATGACAGTAATGTGTATTTTGATATACATACATGGTGTATAACTCATTCTAATCAGGATCCCATTTTTTTGTCATTGTATCTAATGTGGTTATTATTTATATTCTTGATAATTGCCATTCCAAGTGCAGTGAGACGAAATCTCAATGTAGTTTTGATTTACATTTCTCTAACTTCTAGAGATGTTGAACATATTTTTATATATTTATTAGCTATTTGTATTTCTTCAAGAAGTGTCTGTTTAGTTCTTTTGCCCATTTGTTAATTGTTTGTGTGTGTATGTGTGTGTGTGTTTTTGTGTGTGTATTAAGTTTTTTGAGTTCTTTATCTATTCTGGTATTAATTCCCAAGGAGTAGGTGGCAAAGATCTTCTTCATCCTGAAGTCTCTCTAGGCCTACATCCGTTTCCTGTGATATGCATACCCTTTTTAATTAGATGTCTTCCCACTTGTTGATTCTTGGTCTTATAAAATGAGTTCATAGGCTACAGATGAATAGATAATTATTTTAATATCCTTTAAACATAAGAATCTAAACTATATCTCATGTAAAACATAAGTATTACTATATTTCTATGCACAAATTTCAGCTTGGTAGATGTTTGTGGCTATAAACTGGCATTATAATAATTTAAATATGCTCTATTCAATTAGTTGTTTCTTTTTCTTTTTTCCTGAGATATTCTTAGATACTCTTTGATATTCTTAGATAATCTATCAGATGTAGTAACATTTCAGACTATGCAGGTGTTTGGAAATGTATTTTCTGAAAATTATTATTTTCTAAAAGGTATTAATGTATTTTCTGAACATTATTATTTTCTAAAAGGTATTAATGTGTTAAATCAGTTAAAATTCAAATATAATTACAAATGTTCTCTATGATGAACTTAAAATGTGTAAAGTGAAAAATATAATTTGGTTATGTAATATAATCTGTGGTTCTAAATTAAAATGAGAAAAGCAAGAAACATCTGACTACATTTTCTTTAAATTACCTTTATGTAAAAAATTATTTAGAATCTGTTATAGAATCATAGTGTGTTACAAAACAGAATTTCTTGTAACCTTCTCCAGGTTTCTCTCAATACCAATATCTTCTGTAAATGTAATATTGTAACAAAAGCACAAAATTGACTTTGGTATGATCTACAATTATTTATTAGTTCACAGTTTATTGTGATTTCATTAGTGTGCATGTGTCCTTCTATGGAATATTATCACATGTATATTTGTATAACTGTTACCAAAATCAAGGGTTATTCTATAAACATACGAGTATCTCATGGAGTGGGGATATTGCTAAATGTTAAAGTGCTTACCTAGCTTGCCTGAGGCCTCAAATTCAATCTCAAGAACTGCAAAAATCCAATCAAAACAAAATCAACGAACAAAAAACACAGGGGTATCTCTTCTGCTATTCCTTGTCTTACACACATTCTGCCTCCTTGACATCTAATACTTGAAACCACTAATCAAATAGCCATGTATAGCTTTCCATAATTCTGATAATATTCTATGCATGGAACCAT